AAAAAAAAAAAAAATTGCTCTAAATTAGACAGCAACACTCATACCAACTCCTGAAGGTGGGTAAGCCATGGGCTTTTAATGTTTCCATGATGATAAAACTAATATGCTTTGTACAAATTTCATAAGGAAAACCTAATATTTTCACCATTTTCCCCTTTAGTTTATTTAATGGCATGATCTGGTCATATTCCTCATTGTCATGAGCAGTAGAAATGATGTAATAAATAGAACTGCTTCAAGAAACCAATGAAAGACCTCGTAATTTACTTATACCAAATTAATAAAAATGAAAGCAAGATAATGCAAAACTAGAAACTTGACACAGTGAGAAAAACAAGGCCCACTAAGCTGAGATAGCAACTCAAAACCTACTGCAAAGGCAAAAACGCTACATGAATAGAGCGAATAAAACATAAAAACACATTTATCACTTGCTACCCATCTGTGTATAAAGCACACATTCAATAATATTAACCTTGATCTAAGAAACAACACGGCACCTATTATTTTGCTATGGTGTATATTAGTCAACTATAGATAACATCTATCAGTATTTATAATGCTATATCATAGTTGTTGCAAGGACCTAGCTTGTGCACCACATAGCCTCATAGTTGTTAAAGGCTCACCCGCAACTAGGAAGCACAGATACATTTGATGTATCCATATCAGACATATTATACCGATACTCACCGATGGTTTAATTGGAATTGAAACCTTGTTAATTTGGGGTCAACGTAGTTTTATAATGGAAATGATTAATTGTGTTAAAAGTACGATTTATTTTTAACTCGTTTGAAATGGATTCTATTGTCTTTAATCTTGTTATCTTTTTCCTGATGTTAGATTCTATATTCATGGTTTGATATGTATGACAGACTTGGAAAGTTTAGTTTTCATATAATGATAAAACATATAGTTTTTGCATTGCCTTTATCCATGTCGTATCATATCCAATACTCGAAGATGTATTTGTTCAATATAGGCAAATAATGAACAACACTTCATCGATGTATATTGTTGTGAAGAATAGCTTGCATAATTGTTAAGTTGCACCTATGTTTTCTTAGGGATTTGATAAAGTGGGCAGACATGTTAAGTCGGGCCACTTATTTAACCTAAGCCAAAGTGGAGAGCAGATAAGGCTAGGACAATATTTAAGTTATGTTATTTGGATGCCCTTCTTTATGCATTTTGATTATGGATATCCAAAGTATGATTTTATGCATGCTTATGTTATAAATTATTCAACGGGCCAAGCAGAACTATCCAAAAGCTAGCTCAAAGGGGAAAATTGCTCGGCCTCTAATTAATTAATTATTCACAATAACCTACAAATTCGGTGATGCAAGACAAACATAATTCTAATAATTCTTCTTCTATTTTCTCCTTTTTTTGAGCCTCACTTCCAAAAGGTGCGTGCCTTGTTTTGCGCCTTGCACATTGGGCACCTTTGCACTTATAACAACTATGAATCTATGATATTATCAAAATATTATGTAGCATCCAAATATAAAACAAATAAAATTCCTTCATATTTATATATCCTACATGAGATCATATTAACTGTTGTATAAAATAATTCAAAGTTATAGGCAAATTACCGTAGTCACTTTTCAATGACTCAAATATATTAGGTTATGGATTTTGGATTAATCTCAATCACTTCTTGCCTTATCAACATATTTAGATATGAAGTAAAGCTTAACTTAATTTTCACAATCTAAATGACGATACTTTTTTACTTTGACAACGGCCTTCTTTTTTGCCAACTCAACCACCCTAAACATCTAGACGGACAAGAATACCATTTTAGGCACACAATATTTGAGTATCAAAGTACAATATCGGCCTCACATGTGGTCATGAAAAAATTTCCACAAACATTCCACCATCTAATGCAAAATTCCAAAAATATTTCCCAAAAGAAAACAAATGTATCGAGACCCCGAGCGAATAAGCGTATATGGTCAATATTAAAGTCAAAGAAATGAACTTTAACTAAGGAACACTCCATATTGGCAAAACCGAATTAAGTTTCATATGTTATAGCCATATTGATGTATTTTCACATTGTGGAGAAAAAAGATTCACCTCCCTTCCCTCCACCTCATAGGCTATCTTATTTTCTACTTCCTTTTTCATTGTAAACCTTACTTAATATCTTGAAATCACCTAGCATGATTTATCGAGGTTAACTTTTTCGAGTAATGTGTAATCAATGAATAAACAATAAATTAGCCACGGAGGCATGAATGGGCTCAATTACTATTTTAAGACATTTCTTTATTTGCAAGAAATAACTTTATCTATCGAAGGAAGTAATTTTTAATCTACAAATCTTGAAGCAATCATTATTAGATACGTGCCATTGTGAAAACCATATTGTATCTTTGTATCCTTCATTATCTTTTCATTTATCTTTAATACTTTTATATAAAATTCGAAATTTTCTTCATAATGTAACTAAAGTCATGCCTAAAGCTATTTGGCGATAGCTTAGACTTACGCTTCGTCATTAGAGAAGTTGTAGAGTCCTCTTATCATGATAATGTCTTAGTGATAATGAAGTTTGATATAATTTATTATCTCTTGATAAGGTCTAGTGTTTTATAAGGTATTCATGAACAGAATAAGTAATACTATAAGTAACTAATTTTATGTATAAAAACAATATTAATTAAATATTTACATAATTTAAAACATGTAAATGCCTAAACTAATTGATATTACAATTTTTAGATCCAATATATTTAAATATACATTTTTATTTACATTAAAAATATTTTAAATATCTTAAAACTAACCTAAAAAAAAAGACCAGACCGGTCCAGCCGGCCGGATTTGGCCATTTGTGAGGTTCTTGACCAGGACCTGTCAACTGATCGGTTCCTAGTCATTTGTCTGGTTTGGCCCGGTGTTGAAAACTATAATGTTTTGTAGTTGATAGTTAGAAGGATATAAGTATACAACATGTCAACATGTTTTCTTCTTGTAATCACCATGCATTGCCGTGACACCACATTTTCTCGCCTATGCTATTGAACACTAGACCACTACTTGTTATATTGACTTTGCACTATTAACTATTGTGTTGGGACATCAGTGCAGTTCGAGGATTCTTATATTGATCGCAAGCTCAATAAGTTCGACGGTACTTGTTCAACAGCATTTACCATTTTTCAAGTTAGACCAAAATGAAAAGATGTCAATCACAATGAATTCATTTCTACAAGCAGCTGAAAAGGTAAAATACCAAAAGCGCAATTTCAATATACAAGTTAAACATCTAGACCACCATTTCTACTTTTGGAGTACTGAAATCAAAATAAGTAAGAAAAGATTTGGTTGTGTTAAATGCTCACCTTTGTATAGTGGATTATCTTATCGGGCGAGTGTTTGGTTAGGCTTATTGATAAAATATTATGGCTCCAACATGTTAGAATATCTTTATAGCTTACAAGTTCATAGGTCTTATTTAAGGATATGAGGAGTTCACTCATATATAAATGGCGTTTCTTCAACGGAGATGTTCAAATTATGAGGTCATTAAAGATCTTATTTTGCCAACACATTTTGTAATCCCAACCTCTTATAGAACATACTAAAAGCTTCTAATGCCTTTACGAGCTTTAAGATTTTTCCAAATGGCTTACAAATACAAATTGAGCCAAGCTTCATCTAATCATCTATGCTTTTAAAGAACTTATGAGCTGATCAAGGCACTCACTAGAGATAGTTACTGCAGCTGGGAGCTTATAAAACCTACTAATGATGTCAACAAGCATAAATTTTTATAGATGATTTATCTTATTAGAAATCTTCATGTGCATTCAATTGCTGCATAGATATTATTGTTATATCAAAATACAATAGAAGAATCTGAGTCCACATCACTGCGAGCAGTTTATTCAGTGGTGTAACCCAGGTCGCCAAACCACTTTATATTTTGCTTTAACCATCTCTCTCAATATTTTTCTTCCACATTCAAATATTTAGCATTAGACTACATCTAGTACATTTGCATTCTTCTCTTGGAAAATTATTTCACCAAGTACTGACCATGCAGAATACTAACTCCTCAATTTAAAAGGTATCCATATCATCGACATTACCTAATTGTTAGGAGAAAATATTGTCACTACGTGAGGACTTCAACTATTTTGATAAGGTTTTTTCCATGAAAACGGTACTTTCTATTTATAAAAGTTCCATGGCTAATACTTTAGGGTGTCTTGTAGATTTTCCTTAGTAATTATTGATAACCCTCTACTCAGGCCATAAAACATCCCATCTCATATCCAATTTTCCTGTAATCAAATCCTTTTGCATGGTAGAAGATATATAGTATCATCATAAAATTAAGGTGATATGCGGGTAAACCTTCCCAAAGAAGCAAGCATGCTTCTTGGTCATGCACTCATGTTGTGCTTATACCTATTGTCGACGTGTTGAACAGCTATATTTAATGTTCGAAAAGACTCACAAGACATGTCAATAAATGATAACTAAATAACAGTTGTCAATTTAACAACAAAAACTGCAGTTCAAACATGAAAAAAATTCATCGCATGGCCTAGCATAATGTAGCATGTCTGAAGGGAGACACACTAAGTACTTAATGAAATAAATTCTCAAATAATGTACAATGAAGTTACAAAAACTTTTTTGAGTTTTGTATGTAATTGGATTCTGTCTGTAAATATAGCTTATGCGGAGATATTATCACTGACCTCAGCATCAACATATGGATCGTCATTAAGCTCTTCTTCCTCTTCTCCTTTCAGTTCCGCTGCTTTCACACGGGATAAGAACCCTTTGACCTCTTTCCCTTTATTCCTTAGTCTTGGCTCAAACTTTTCTTCTTCAGAGACGTTTGATGAGCCCCTAGCTAATTTAGCACCAGATGAAGAAGATTTTTTGGCATCTTTTGTCCACTGGAAGTCAAGAAAGGTTAGATTGTTATACTTCAGCAAAAAAGGGTAAATTCATAAATAGAATCCCAGAGGGATCATGTGCTATGGATTGCATACCTTCTTTGCATTCATGATGCGCTTCTCTGCTTTAGCTTCCGATTCATGGTCCAGATCAAGTTGATGCATAGTAGCAGGAGGTTCATAAGATTTCTGCTCATATCAATAAATCAAATGAAACAATGAAAAACTAATGTAAATGACTAAATGCAACGTGATCATATGAATAATCTGAACCATTAAGCTATTTTTTGGTTAAATATGTTTTATTTTCTATTTGTTTCACTTTTGCCTTTTCCTGTTTTGATGACACAGGGTAAAGGGGAAGAGTAATAACTGTGTAAGACAGAGAATGATATCAATTCCACTTTCTCACTAATGTGGACGCTCAATTAACTTTGATGACAAAGCAAATATAATAGATTTTTTGACCTCATCAGAAGTCTCCTCAAGAAACCCAGATGAAAGTTGAGGCACCATGCGGCCCTTAGGCCTGTACTTCTCAGCCAATTTCTTCTTCTTCTTCTCAAGCTGTTTACTAGCTTTAGTTGCTTGCCTTTCCACCTATGCATTCGTGAAAACAACTGCATAAGACAGGGTCTCATATCAATTTAAACAAATCCTCGTAAGTACATACCTTTTCATACTGCTCTACCGTCCTCTCAGGGTCAACTTCAGGGACATAATGCTTTACTTTGCTGACCTTTTTGTTCCTCGACTCAACCATAGCCGTCAAGGAACGATGGGAATTAGAAGATACAGACGAAGGCATAAACTTCATCTTTCTTGAGATTCTACCCTGTGATTGGTATATCCCCTGCATATGTTCACAAAAGACATGATGAAATTAAATCAGAAAATGAAAATGAATACTCTATCTGGAGTTAGCTGATGGAACAATCAAAATAAAAATGTCAAAATATGCAACCACGTATAACTGGAAAGTGGGTGCATATATTGTTTGATAGTTCTTCAGATTGTAAAATCATTAGAAAATAGAAATTGATCAAATAAAACAAATACAATATTTCTTTTGATGTTAATTGATACGAGTGATTTCCAACTATATACCCAATTTCTCATATGTATATTACACACACACACACACACGTAAAATTTATGTGTAGCTATAAGTTTAAGAGAATTGAAACTCTTGTAGCCCTTTGGGTGCTCAGTTCATATATCTTGATCTTTCTTGTTTATCTCTTCGAAATTCATAGCAGCACTCAACTAATACCTTCTCATGCTTGAGGAAAAGGTGCATCTGGATGTCTTGTGCTTCCTGCTCAGATATGTCAAAAGGCTCATTACCAATGAACAGCTGCATACTCCCATCTGACCAAGTCACAAAGCGAGCATTGCTTTCAACCTGCGTGTATATTGTTTTTATGTGCATTAGATATGCAAGCTTCCCATAAAAGGATAGCATACTCAGACTATAATGGAGATAGCTTTCGAACATTCTTTAGCACCTAACCAACGAAGATAAAATTATGTGATATCTTAACCCACTTATTGTCACAGTAACTCTTCTCTCACTATGCTTTTAGGCAAGAAAAAATTATGTTTCCTAATCTACTGCATCAACATCCCCACCTCAATTGCAATAGTAATCATAATCTAGTAAAAAGCTCGATCACAAATTTATAATAAAATATTTTGTGAATATTATAGCACCCAGAAGTCTAGGATCTTGATAAATGATTAATCCAGAAGTCCATTCAAATTCACTGCCACACACCAATTGTTAGGGAAAAGGACCTTTTGACATTCAAACACATTCAAAAATTTTACAAGTGCTCCCAAAAAAGCCATATATATTATATTTTCCTCGCAGCATGTATGCGACACACACACTAACAGGGAACATGAAAATTTTGAAGCTTTATGAACAATAGATAGCTGTTTCATATAGTAACTCACAGAAGTTTTTCCATTAGGATTCTTGACTTCTCTCCAGCGAATGACATTGGTATGGGGAATGGGTCTTTTTGTTCCAGATTCGTCGGTCACATAAAGATCTTCTTCCACATATGTCATGGGATCAAATGGCTTGGGGTCAATACCAATTATGTTGGAGATTCTGATAGCAGCCATCTGCCAAGCACGATTACTATAGCACTTACAAACTGGACATAAAGTTTCTCTGTTATCAGTTAATGCCAGAAAACTTAAGGATATTACATCGTGGCATTAGATTACTGGCAAAATTGAAACTTTGGTGGAGTCCAAAATACTTAAACACTCTTCTTCTTATATTGGACCAATGGAAACAAGACAGGAGCCAGTATATTAGATAAATCAATTTAGTTCCACGCCAGGATGATCTAGAATTGAAGCCGTAAATTTTACTAGACGATTATGTGAGCACTATAACAGGTGAAAACAAAATTTCTGTATGGTCTTTATTGATCTTGAAAACGCATACGAATCAATCAAGATATAATGGCCATGACTGGAAAACATGACCAGTAAAGAAAACTTAGAAGAAACTCACAGGAGTGTATTGATTTAGGAGGTTGTTCTAATCCCAGTTGCATTATGCCATAGTAGTTTCAATGAGATCCAATGGTTAAAAAAAGAAAAAGAAAAAAGAAAAAAACTAATGAGTACATTTTTCTGTTTAAATATCTGTCGGATGTCATGATACACTGATAATTCGAAACTTCTACAACTTTTATTTGTAATTGCCGATAAAATAGATATTTAACAAATATGTAAATGATACATAAAGCTCCAATGGAAACAAGACACTTATGCAAAACCTGATCTGCAGCAGCTGGGGGACGGCGTAATGGAATTTCAAACACATCCGAGGGACCAAGTTCCTTTCTTTTCACTTTGGTCTCAGTTGCATCGTGTGGTTCTTCAGCAACCTAAATACGGTTAACGTTACTTAAAACATGTGCCAAATGCTCTAAATAGCACACATAAGATAAAATAAAAATCTTATACTAACAACTTCCTCGTTAGTCAGTTTCTCATCATCAGAGTCTCCAAAAACTTCATTGATTACCGCAGCCGAATGCCCAGCTGCCGCCTTGCCCTTTTCATTATCTCGTAATCTGCGACGATGGACAGAAGATTTAGAACACAAGCACATATAGAATGAAGGACTTTTATTGGATCAAGAATATTAGAGCTAAGCAAGGAATTGAAACTCCCAATTACAGCACTTTCATCAAAGAAATTAATGAATAAGGAAGAGGATTTCAAGAAAAACATAATGACTTTTTGTTTAACCATTATGTGCCTTTAGTCACTGCTTCCACTTTATCTATTTCATCCACACAAAAGAATCAAAATGTATCATCTAAAACAGACCAACTAATCAAAATTGTTCAAAATTAAACTTCTGTGCCTCTCAAAATTTCATTTTCTTTCTTTTTCAAATAAAAGGTTCACCAAAAACTGATTATTGTACACAGGTCATGCAATGTGCAGTAACCATGGAATAGCATCAATTTGGGGGTCAGTTCAGTTGGGAGGCCTACATTGGAATCTGCATCATAGATGACAAATTGCTGACGTACAAAGTGCATAAGGATGATGATAAGTCACAAAGAACACGAAAAAATTACAACCAATTAAGTACTAGGAGCAGGAAGGGGAGAGTAAAATCTATAAGAAGAGAATTGATTTGAAAAGAAAATTATAATCAATTAAGTACTAGGAGCAGGAAGGGGGAAGTAAATTCGATATCTAGATTCTAAAAGATGTTAATGGCAAGAAATGGAGAGCATGAGACTGAATATATAACCTTGAGCTTTCGGGAAGACCATGAGGAGCACCCCCTGGGAGATCAGCCTCTCCCTTGCTTCCACTATTGCCTTCAATCTCAGATTCCAGCCCTCCATCCTTTTCCAAAATAGAGTCAAACACGAATCAGAATACAGAAGTCAGAACTAAAGAAATATTGTTGTCCCCGGAATTAAAAGTAATAAAAAAACAAAATTTACTGCAATGGGGGCATATCAGTTGAACAATCTACGCAGCAGCACCAGCATAAAACTCAAGCAAAAAGCAAAGCATCAGAACTTATTACCTCTTCATTCACCAGAATTTCTCAGTCCAGCAGTAATTCACTAACTAATCTCTCATACTAACAAGAGATTCAACAAACATGGCTCCATAGCCTCCATTAATGACATACCTTCACACCACTCAGTTACAGTAAACTATAACTCAAGAGAAACAGTTGTATATTACTTTGTCTGTTCTCGTTTTTCTTTATGTACTTTAGAGGAATGCTAGGGGAGGAGACATACACACTCATATGGGATTTCCTGAGTTGATGTATTCCTTTGATATGAATGACCATATATACAGAGTTCTTCATGGGCCTTATGGGCCTACTCATATAGCGCCTTGATATGATATAGGTAACAACAGCTATTGACAAGGATCATATGCTGATCATGGGGGAGGGGACAATCAAACAAATGCAACAATACCAAACACCACAAGCATTTTTCTCCCGATTTTTAGGAGACTATGAAAACGATAAAAATAAACTAACTCTTTTCTTTGGTGTTAACAATGTCATCTATACCAACTGAGAGATAAAATCATATTGTCAACGGTTTAAAATCAAACAATTTATGGCACCGAGACAGTTAGTCAATCTTGAACTACCACTCGAATTAAACCAATCCAATCATTATAGACAATTCAAAATCCCTTGAAAATTACGTACATTCAGCAAATAATTATACAACGCAGATGTTTTCACCAACAAAACACAAATAATTACAAAATTAAGTAACTGCTTTACAAAAGTTGTTTTATATCACACAGTAGCATAGATCTAGACACGCGGGAGACAGCAAAGATATAAGGGGTGATGCCACACAGACTAATCCCAAACTGAGATTAAACTCCGTAAGTCAACTTTGTCAGTAAGAAAAGAAAAAAAAAAAGAAAGAAAGAAAAAAAAGGAGTGAGAGAAATAAAAGTTTCATAAAATGAAAAGAATGTTGAGGAATACCACATGTATATACTCACAAATAATTTTGACAATAAATATCATACATTCCAAATGAAGATGAAAAAACAAATATCTTTAGAGAATTTTTCATGAACAGAAAATTAGTCAAAATAGAAAATAATAATTCTAATAATAATGAAAAAAGAAGGCCGTATAAACAGATCCATACAAACACAAGGTTATCCTGGTGATCAAATTCATCTTTTGAGTTGACCTCCTCATCTTCAGATTGATAGCCAAAGAGGTTTTGTAGAATTCTACGTCTTTCCATTATATTTGGTTTGTATTTCACAGGATTCGGGGAATGATTGTTTCTACCAGAAGAGGTTATATATTTGTGTGCACTACTGAAAATTGAGCTTGTGAAGGTTAATGGGAATATGTCTGTATTTGTGCTCCACTGTAATTTGGAGCCTTCCAACACCCAGTAAGGCACTATAAATGAAAATAGGTATGCCTTTGGTGCTCTGTGATGTAATCATAAATAAAATTCTTTTACAGAAAGGATACTGACCATACGTAATAAATGAGGCAGATTACATAGATTTCTATAGGAATTACTTAAATCTTATACCTAATATACTACCTAATATACTTTGTGAAGGACTTTGTGAGCAAAATTTCATCTTTGTCTGCATAAACTTGTGAAGTTCTTTTAGAACAATGCTGATAACTATAATTCACAAGTAACTGGAATATGGACGTTTTTGGTGGTGATTCCAAATCAGGAGTTGGTCACAACTAATAATTATAAATGTGAACAGAATGATTTTTTTTCTTTTTTTTTTGGGATTTGGGCCTATTCAGAAATGTTTGTGATAATAAACAATCAGGTTACTGCAAAGTGCAAACTTCCTGTGTTATTACTTCAATCCTGCAAATTAACTAAATGTCTCAAATAGGCTCTCAGACAACTGTCATACACCTCCCAAAGAATCCTTGTCATTGCTCTGGAGTTCGGGTGTAAAGTAGAATCAGCGTTATATGTGATGGTAAGCATTACGATTATTTTGTGTAATTTTTCCAATCTAGTGCAAAACTCAATATTTCAGACAATCCCTCAGACAACTGTCTATACCTCAAAATCATTTTCATTGTTCTTGGTTTTGGGATTAAAACAAATTAGGAATTATATTTTATGTTAAGCAATCAGATTACTTTAATATTCAGTGTGGTTACTCAAATCATGCGCAGATTACAGAACATTTCAGAAGGCCCCACATGCAATTGGCATATACCACTCGAAAAAATTCTTTTCGTTCACTGAATTCTTATACTAATCTACTCACACATTTTCTTGGGGTAACTTTTTACCCAATTTGAATTCACTTGGTTGGCAAACTCGTATAATTTATAGTCCAAATCACCAAAATAACAAACTTAGGAGACGAAAATGTTGATAAGTCAATACACTAAACCAAGAACTGTAAATTTTTTATGAGAATGAAGTAGAAAAAAATATAGATAAGAAAATCTCTAATAAATATCAACTAGTAAACAATGTATAAAATCTCAATGACGTTTGTATCACCAATTACAAAAAGTATCCTCCGTAACCGACTCTCTTCTTCAAATTCATCAAGCTAGTTTTGTCACCATTACATACAAGTATATTTATTTCCAATTTCCCATGTAAATTCAAAATAGGAGGGAAATTAATGGCATGGTTCTTATCAATATATTTGTTCTTTTTATTTGTGTTTGTTCGCAGAATTAAATAAGAAGTTAACTATGTATAAACAAGAGAAGTAAAAGGGGTTTCTGAAAATGGAATTCGGGGTAGTTCATGTTTTTGTTGCAAGGGTAATTGCCGTTTACGTGATTTGGTAGTTATTTGCCATGCATTAGTGTGATGTGAATGAGCTCGACAGGGTTTTCACCTTTTTCTTTATTTTTCAACAAAATGCATTGGCTTTATTCACCAATTGTTTCATGCAATCAACCCAATGGGAGAACATAAAACAAGCATCTTGGGAAGTTTTCATACAATTGATATATGGTAATTTTAGGGTCTTCCGGAATAACATTCTCATAACCAGGATGTGAGCATCCACTATAATCAAAGTAGGGATCACACTGTGAAAGAGAAACTTCATCATCAAGTGTTTTCATTCACAAACAAGTTCTAAAACAGACCCATATTGGTCAACAGGCAGAGTGAAGCATCTCTACATAGTAGAATGACTTAGATGCTAGTATTCATAATTTTATGATCTGGCATCTCCATATATTTTGACAGCAATATAAGTAATATGAAACTTGTTTTCTCACAGTAGATAATGCTACCTCTTCAGTCACAAAACCAGTATGAACAAAGTATCTCCACACTGATATGGGGTACCCTCCATCACAACCATCACCACACATAAAGCCGCAGCATGCTAAGAGATCATTGACAGAGAGGGAATGTTAACTCTCTCTGGTGTAGAAGAGAAGACACATTTTCGGGGGAAATAATACGAACGAGGGGTCTATGATTGTTCACTTTTCTTTTTATTTCTTCACCTTATAAATTTATCAATGTTTTAGCTAGTATAGGTATTGAAATACAGATGAATGTAGGAAACCCCAAAGAAAAAGAATCGGTATATCTCCAAGAGTAATCTCAATATCTCGTATCACCAATTACAAAAAGTATTCTCTGAAACCTACACTCTTCCTCAAATTCTTCAAGCTAGTTACTTCTTTTTTGCCAGCATTATTTACAGTTTATATCCAATTTCCTAGGTAAATACATCTTCAATTTGTAAAGTTTACCAAGAACGAGGCATTAAGTGTGTTGTCTGGATCACAATTCGCATGTAAATAGAAAAAAAAAATAAAAAATGGTTCACTGTGGGTACACACTAGATCGTTATGTGACAAATTATTAATAACACATCAAAATCTTCATTTTAAAGCTCATCTTACAGTCACCATGTAGAGATATTATTGCGTACGCTTAGTTTTCCAGGCCTCTTAGCACCAAACAAATCTAAAGAGCAATTCCTAAAACTGGTGAGAACAACTTCTACTGTGCTGTCTTACTCATTAGTTGTTAACAACTTTTAAACTTCAGCTATATTTTAATTTGTTCCTCGACTTCTCCATAGAAAACTTCCCAACTCAAATCATAGACCCACAACAGCCAGAAACAAGAGAAAACTGCAGCTATCACTTAAAATTAAAAAAAAAAGGCATCTGCTTTTGGGTTCGCGGGTCGGTATTTCAAAGCCGATTTCTTTGAAGTGAATGTAAATCCTCTTCAAGTGCCAGAAAATTAAGGCGTGCAATTCTCGGCTTGCTGGTTTACTTCTTTGTTATATCCATTTCAAAGATAGTGTAGGCAGTAGAGACGACCCATAAATAGATACGCCGCAAATCAAAAGAAACAAAGAGTAAACAAAAAACCCAGAATTTCAGCTCAATATTACAGCATAACCAAGCTCATATTACAGCATAATGAAAACCGAAACTTGACAACTTTAGGTCTCCAATTCCAACTCATACATAAACTGTAAAATCAGTCAATTACAAGCACATACAATCGGGGCAAGGTCAATAGGTCACGTACCTTAAGAACGATGGGGTCACGCAGCACAGAGAGAGCATCGTCGGAACTTCAAAATTGGTCATTTGTACTTGGATTCCATCTTTTTTTTTAACTGAATTGATTCGAAAGTACAAAGTGCTAGTTTCAGAGACCAACAACAACAGCAAGCATCGCTCGAACAATATCTGGACTCGAAGGGTCTGTGAGAGAGAAAAAGGCGCCATCTTTGATCTTCTTTGCCCACATCCTTTTTCACCCATATCCGTTTTCGTTGTTCTTCTCCTCTTGGAATTTGTCCTGTTAAAAATTGCGCAAAAATTCATTCTTGTTTTCATGAAAATGAAATTATACGCGAAACTTCTAAATCTCGTTAGACGAATTCCCAGATATCTCTTATGCCCTTCCTTTTTTTTTTTTCTTTTTTTTTTCTTTTTTTTGATGAAGCAGTAAGAAGACATGGCCAATCTGGGCTCAAACCGAGCTCGAGCTTACGTGTTTGAGCTCGAGCTCTTAACGAGCCGAGCTCACAATCGAGCTCGAGCTCGACTCGTTAAGGCCTCGACCTTGAGCTTTAACTAGCCGACGAGTCGAATTATAAAAAATTACATAAATTTTATTTTTTGAGCCTTAACTATAAAAAATTACATAAATTTTACTTTTTGAGTCTTAACGAGCCTTGTCGAGTCAAGCTAAACGAGCTTTAAATGAGCTCGAGCTCGAGCTCGTTAAGGTTTCGAACTCAAGCCGAACCGAGCCTTAACGAGTCGAGCTCGAGCCGAACAGCACTAGTTCAAACACAGTGACGGGCCCTTATCCCATGTACGGGCTGGGTACACTACCCGACGGGCCAGAAAGAGCCCATCCTAGATTCCGGACCCGTCTTAAAAAATGAATGAATACCGTTAATTTTCACCGGCCCAACCCGATGGGTTATATGTTCACAAGGGCCAATACTGATCCATCTCGGTTTTTTAGGACCGACCCAACCCGACGGTTTATATGTTCACAATGGTCAATACTGATCTAGCCCGGTTAAAATTCGTGCCGAGTCCAGCCCGTGGCCATCTGCCCCATAATAATATATGTTTTTGTTGTTTGAAACAAACACCAATAGCATCCGTGCTTGGCTCTTTTGAAAGGATTAAAGCCGAGTCAAGTCCAACTCTTTTATACTCGATTTTGCTTGGCTCGCTAATTAAACGAGTGTAGAGCCAAATTCAAATATTAGTGAATCGAAATAAGGTAGAAACTCTATGAGCTCGTTTACTTCAAAGATTGTTCGATTCTTTGTTCGCATTGCATTATTGCAGCCCGTTCTATAATCCGCAACCCGGATGAAGGGACCAATTTATCATCATCACTTTTGGTGATAATTGGGTTAGGCCCAATTGGAGAGTTTATTTGCCCTGCACCTTTTTTAAGTGAAAATTACACTACAGTTCCGCCAAATACTAGCATGAATAGACGGAAATAACCCATGAGCAAGATATATTTACAATTGTTGCCAGCCAACTTCTCCAATAATGTTGCATACTTTAGATTTAGTTAAAACGAGTAATGCTATAGAGCCCACCCACCTGGATAACAACTTAGATTACAACTCAAGTGTAAACGTATTATTTTTTTAAATCCTCTCAACTCGTCAACCAAATGTTTCAACAAACTCGACACGCATCTCCCCTCCTACGGTGGCAAATACTTCGTCCATTCTGTCAGAAGAAAAACGTACAAGCATTAAGAAAATAATCGAGAAATGATTGAAAACGGTTCAAAAGGAACATTCTAAATGATAAAAAGCAATTCACAAAGAGATATTATCATGTTTTAAAAAAGCTCACTGTCATGTTTCTATAATTCTATCCTCAGTTATACCTGCATCTATCTATGTTAACCTCTACCATCCATGTGGTTATGTAAACCTGTCCAGCAGAAAGAAACAAGTAGAATTATTGACGAGGCTACTGAGTTCATTCAATCTGAGATTATAAATTTATTCAGTGTTCACATTTCAAAGTCTAACTTCATGATAACCGATCATACCTGTAAAACATTGCTATCTGGCTGTTTTTTGGGCGGCAATATAGGAATAGTAGATTCGCAACTTCCAAGTGATGGAAATTTCGGCTTTTGAGTTTCTTCAGAGTACAAGTTCAATGTGCTCAACTCACTAAATTCTCCCTCGTATAATTCATCAGGCCAATGCAATCCATTAGCATCTGCAACTTTTTCATCATATATTGAAAGCAATTCCAAGACAAGCACCCTCTGCGCAGGGTATTTGAGACAACAAGGTGAGGGAGAACATTAGATCCATAAAAAATTTAAAGATAATAAACAAACAAAAAAAGGATAGTTCAAAAGTGGATGCGCATAAAAACTACACCTTCACTTGTAATTCTGATATAAACATTCGAACAATCTCCCAAGCTAGTTCTTCTGAAATCAATTTAAATAACTCTGGTTATTATAAAGATATCTCAAAAATAAACATCGGAGGCTGGAAAATATCAGAATATTCAAATTCATAAGCTGATGTTAAAGTTTATGTCGAAGACTCCAGGCAAAACAACTCAGGAATGAATAAAATAGAAAATGAAACAAAGCCCTATCAATATAAAGGCTTCGAATTTTTAACAACCGGAGTTGGTTGGAATTACAATGTACGTAACTTGTAAAACATTGTTGAATATCCTTTCCCGTGGTCCTTTGAGATAGTGTTCTTGTTCTAGTTTCACGATTCTAATGAATGGACTAACACGGAATTATCTTTCAGATATCAAATACCTAACCAGAAATTCATAAACAACACAAATATATCAGTTGAGAAACATTATTCATTGTGACTTTTTGAGTTTCGCTTTTTCCGTTTTTTCAGCACAAATAATGTCAAGTGTGTTACGACACTAAGTGCAAGATATATGAAAACAATATTGTGTTCTTGGCCTGATAGATGTACGATGCAACTGAAAAGCAAAAACCAGACTAAGTTGAAAAACGGCTTTTTCACATACCAAAAGAAGAAACCGAATAAAATGCAAACACGGGAATTCCACCACAGTCACCATTGTCATTGCCATCTTCTGAGGATGAAGAAAACTGGGCTACTGGACTACTGCTTGTCCCTCTAAAGTAACACCTCATAGATTTACAACAATGAGTCATTTGCATCACAACTGCAACCTGTAAAGATGGTCCATTATCATACAAACGCGTTTATTGATAATAAAACGCCAACTTTTAGATGCAAGCAGCTCATGCAGTTAGAAAAGAATTTTTTTTACAATAACTAATACAAAATGCTATAGCAATTCAATTAGTTACGATGAATAAACTTCCCCACAAAGAGTCAATACTCACTAGCCATGATCACTATAGTTCGGTACGGATATGATGTCAATCACAACATCAAGCAAATTTCATGATGGGGATTTCTAAATCCATCTTTTTGTAATCCAAATATACAGAAGCAGAAAAAACCCAGCTAACATGCGACAACAAAATAGATATCTCAGCCCACGTTCTTTTACAGGATAAGGAAGACGGTTAACTGTGCATACCATGTCTCTGTAAGATGACAATAGTTTGCCTCTGTAAAGCTCCTGGAAGAAGAAAAAAAAAAAAAGACTTATTACATTTCCAAACATACTCTTTCAAAGAGGGTTTCAGATAGCACACATATTCAATGTTTAGGCCATCACCTCTTAAAAAAAATCTTTAACATATTTTTTTGGGAACAAGAGGGTGGCGGTATAGCACAAAATTGAGCCATTTATCGCAATTCAATGCCACCAAACTTTCACAATGAACACGGTAAACAACAACTTGCAATCTATGCTGGTGATATCAAGTTCAAGTAGTCAAACTGAGCAGAATGCAAACTGGACAAAGAGAAATAAAAACGCAAAATGTTGTGATGCGCACCTGTTGCTTCAACAATTTGGCACAAGCTTTCTTCCGAATATTAGGCATGTCACTCAGTACACCAAAGTCCATTCCATCCATATACCTGTGAGAAAACAATAAAGTACCAACTCGTCAAACAAAGACGAACCCATGACACTAAATGATCATCTCTCTCGATATCCTTTCTTTTGGGCCCTTAGGTCCTGTGGGAATACCTTGATGGTTTACAGAAAAGTAATCAGGTTCCCAGACTATCTTCTAATGTGATTGTGCAACCCATTCTTCTCAGTACCCTAAATCAAATAAAATAAACTACAAACAAATGGGGTTCACAAACTCTTCCAGTCTAAGAATTGAAATGCGGCCTTATGTTTACACAATCACAACATACATACATTCTCTCATGCATCGAATCAAGAAATAATGAAGAGACAAATTAACTAACAAAACCCCATTTAATTGCTACATATGCGCGAGTGGTTTACCTTTGGGAGAGGTACGAGTTGACAATGGCGGTGGCGTGCGAGCGGGCGGCGGAGGTTGAAGCGCGCCAGTCTTGGCGGAGAGAATTGAGCTTCGTCCACTGGTTCCTCAGGTTCCGCTGCGCCGCTGGCCTCCACAGCCGCGCCGCCGCCGGTGATGATGATGACGGCGGCGGCTGCGGTGTGGAGTGGTGGCTCTGTGAACCAGCTTCCTCCATTCTTTTGGGGGAAAAATAATTCCAATTCTTTTATATATTTATCAAAAAATTATTAGAAAAAGATAGTATAAAAAAATTCCTTTCAAATGCATTTTTTTTAAATGATTGCAATTTCGATTTGAATACATTATAATTTAAAATTTTGTAAATAGTAATCCTTAAATTAATTAAATTTGTTTTATTTCTAGTGTATTTTTAAATTAATTTCAATTTGAAAACATTATAATTTAAAATTCTGTAAACATTAATCCTTATGTTAAATGATCTAATAGTTAGATAGACATACTCTTCCAACATATATACGTACTTCCACACTTAAATTTTGTGCTTTAAAATACTATATAAATAAAATAAGTATGCATATTTTCACAAGAAATATAAATTTGTTTATAGAGAGGATGAAACTAAGGGCAATTATCAATTTTTTTTTTTTTTTTTTTTTTCAAGTTGGTTTATAATTTTCTTTTTCCAATTACATTGGGCCTTGTTTGGCGATCAACGTATAGCAGATATCGGATTATATGCGGATAACAGATAGCCAATTAATATATAATTTCTGGCCGCCCCCGTGGCGTAGCACAGTTGGTGGGATGGGGGGCCGCATGCTCGCTTGCAAGCACTGCGTAGAGGGATCGAAACCTGGGAGGAGCAAATATGCAGATACCTGAAGTGGTCGGACATTTGGTTGCCCAAGAGTGTACAGCTTCGGACTAACTGAAAACCACTGTTGCAAGTCTTAGGTTTAACTCCCGAAATCTCTGTGGGGCCGGGGACTAGGGCTAGGGATTGACTGCAACTCTGTATAGTGGGGCTGGAACCCTATGTATCAAAAAAAAAAATATATATATATATATATATATATAATTTCTGGCCTTCACATTTGAAGTTGAAGATAAGGTAGGACCATCAAATAAACTAATATGTGGTATACACTATATACTATAAATACCCCTCAATTTCATATTCCCAATATTTTTATATACTTTGTTATATATATCTTGTTTCTCAAAATTTTATTAAAAAAAAAATGGCATCCTTCTTTGCATCCCTACCATTTGTGCCTCACCCCATAGCAACAAGAAGTAACAATTACTTGATTCTTCCATCCTCACAAACACCAAATCCACAAGCATCTAATAGCAATGACAATAACAATGTTAATCAACCTCCACAATCACTTGAAAACCCAGCTGCCCTCAGTTCTTCTAACTCAGAGCAGCCACAAATAATTAGGCCAATCAACATGAAGAAAGCAACTGCAGACTCTACTGACTGGATTGCCTCCGGTTTAACGAGGCGGTTCGGAATCGGGGCGGGCCTAGCATGGGTCGGTTTTCTTGCGGTTGGGGTCGTCTCCGAACAAATCAAGACTCGGTTGGAAGTTTCGCAACAGGAAGCAGGCACAAGGTAAAATGGCAGCCCATGCATGCAGCTTTAATGGCAAAGTTAGGTCATGTAAAGTTTTAGTTAGCTGCTAGCTGTTGTTATAATCTTATTAAGCAGTGAGTTGTGAAATTTTATGAGATTGTGTGGTTTGCATTGGCACTGCAAGATTACTTCAAATAACTAATGAAGCTGCTCTTATCTTAATTTTGCAGAGATGTTGAGAAGGAAGAAGAGGTGATTTTGCCTAATGGCATAAGGTATATATGATCTAGATTAGTATACTCATTTTCCCTATATCGTCGAACTTAATTTTCCCGTTTTAACCTTTTTCAAACCGTGCATAAAGGTATTACGAGCTTAGAGTTGGGGGTGGGGCTTACCCAAGGCCAGGGGACTTGGTGGTGATCAATGTGAAGGGCAGCGTGCAAGGCGACCGAGTGTTTGTCGACACGTTTGGGAATAAGCCGTTGGCTCTTGTATTGGGTTCGAGGCCGTATAGTAAAGGGATTTGTGAAGGCGTAGAATATGTGTTGAGGAACATGAAAGCTGGCGGGAAAAGGCAAGTGGTGGTCCCACCGAGTCTCGGATTTGGGGAAGAAGGTGCGGAATTTGGTGAAGGTTTGGAAATTCCTCGACTGGCGACACTCGAGTATGTAATAGAGGTCGAAAAAGTTTCGATTGCACCCGCTTGATGTGTAACACATGCAGCACCTAATCAGAATTTGGTTGTATTTTTACAGCTGCAGATATGGCAAAATTTTGAAGTAAATGTATAGTGTGTCGCGTAATCTTGTATACTTATTTTGTAGACGAAATCAACAAATTCGTTAAACGTGTCGCCTTCCCATTCGGGCATTTTCATTTAGCGACACATTCTAAATGCGTTAGAACGATCAAATGCGTTACAACGATGAGCGCACGTTTTCCATAAGATGACGATCCATTTGGACATTCTCGTTTAAAGACGTTAGAACGATCAAATGCGTTAGAAGATCATTCACGCACGTTTTCATAAGATCACGATATCAATTGAATAGCGATATAAGGAATCGGAGATGTGCCCGTGGAAAAGAAGATTCATACAATGCATAGTTGTTAGTGATTGTTATTCTCCTTTATTAGGTAGCTGAACCAATAACCATGCAAGATGTTCACAGAAATGCAGACAAATACTTACATGGAACGTAGTGCCGATTCTCGACAACTTTTAGTGTGTTAGGAGCTTTTCTCCTGATGTCAAAGATCAGTCCCAACAAAGTGTGGAGAGTTATGGCATATGATCCAGCACTTTCCAAAAGCTATAGTCAGCAGGAGCTGAAGAAACTGGGATCTGTTGTACTGTTTGTTTGTTTTCTCATGGCACTTACCTTTCGTACGGTTCTCAAGCAGCCCGATTCTTGTAAGTTCACCCTTCTCGCCTTAAATCACGATGATCTTCTTGTTCATAAACCAAACAAATCAAATATCACTAATTCGCTCGAGTCTGATTCACTCATTCTTAACGAGCTTTCACCGTGTTGGTGATCCGATCAGCAGCTCCCGACCTGTTCGGACTCGATTCACTGGCAGCAATATTCAGTCCACCCGACCCTTCCGAACCTGATTCCAAGGCTCCCTTGATCCGAAACCTGAGCAGCTGGAAATCGGACGTGCTCGAAATCACGGGCGACATACGGATCCACGGCCCCTCCTCCACCGTCTTCGTGGCCTCGACCTCACCGTGGCCCACGGCCTCCTCCATATATCCCTACGCCCGTAAAGGAGACAAGTACATCATGGACAGGTTCGTCACCCGCTGGCAAATCTCCCCCCAACCGCCGCCAAAATTACCGAAATGCCACCGCTGGCTACTGGCCCCGGCCGTCCTGTTCTCCGGCGGCGGCTACAGCGGCAACCACTTCCACGACTTCACCGACATTCTCATCCCTCTCTACCTAACCGCAAAACAATTCAACCGGGACGTGCACCTCCTCGTAGCTGACCCGCGGCGGGAGTGGCTCCAGAAGTACAAGCTCGTGCTCGGCAAGCTCTCCCGCCACGTCAGCATCGACGTCAGCGGCAGCGAGAAAAGCGTGCTCTGCTTCGGGAGGGCTGTCTTGGGCCTCCGGGCCCACAAGGAGTTCGGCATCGACCCCTCGCAGACCCCGCACTACACGATGGCGGGCTTCCGGGGGTTCATGCGTGCCACGTTCTCGCTGCCGAGGGCCGTGGGCCCGCCGCTGGCGGCGGGACCACGGCCCCGGATGCTGATCATCTCGAGGGTGGCGAACCGGTTCTTGACGAACGAGGATGAGGTGGCGAATGGGGCCCGCGGGCTGGGGTTCGAGGTGGACGTGGGCGAGACGAGGTGGAACGTGACGGAGACGTCAAGGCAGGTGAACACATATGACGTGCTCGTCGGGGTGCACGGGGCGGGGCTGGCGAACATGGTTTTTTTGCCGGAGGGTGGGGTGGTGTTGCAGATCATACCATTTGGGGCGGACCTGTGGGCCAAGCCCTACTTCGGGAGGCCCACGAGGGAGATGGGGTTGAAGTACTTGGAGTACGAGGTGGGGCTGAACGAGAGCTCGTTGTTAGGTAAGTACCCGGCGGACAGCGAGGTGTACAGGGATCCGGGAGCAGTGTATGAGAAGGGGTTCTTCCATTTCCATGCAGTGTATTTGAAGGATCAGAATGTGACTCTTGATTTCAGTAGGTTTAAGGAGGTATTGATCAGAGCATATGAGCTTTGTCTGTAGTTGACATGGGAGTTGATGTTAAGACACACAAAGGACAACAGGAAAAAAAGAAAAAACAAAGAATCACAAATCAACAGAAAGATATTGAGATCTTCTCTCAAATGAAATGTGCTTTAGAAACAGTTATATCAACAAATTGGTTCATTGATTGCTTGATGATTGTTAGAAATATTCATTAAATTGTGGATATGGATATGGAATATAACCAAGGGGAAATACTACGGTCCCGTTACGGAACCATTCCGTCGTAGTTTGTAACCGTTAGATAATCATGTAACCGTCGGGGATAGTTGATCTAACGGTTACAAACCCCGAAGGAATGATTCCGTAACGGGACTGTAGTATCTCCCATAACCAAACGGAAGAAGAAGAACAAAAACACCGAATCCATAAATAACTAGCTACCAATACATAAAACTAGTAGTTAGTCACATCATCATCCTTACATATTCAAACCTATCCAAGCTAAAACAATAACATTAGTAACCCACTAAAACCTGAAATCCAGACACAAAGACATGAAAACATAAGAGTTAAAACCAATAACTAGCAAAAGCAGCCAACTAAAACATTTTTTTTCCTGTTTTTCTGCCCTAATATCAAATCAAGGATGTCCTTTGTGCCTCTTGTAGCCATAACGATTGTTCCTGAGAGCACAGCATCCGATCGAGTAAATCGTGACAACAACCGCTAGGATGCACCCGTTGATGATGGCCAAAACCTTCCATTCCCTCTTTATATTGTAGAGAACCGCCGCCTTGCACGACTCGCACTCGAAGCAAAGCTCAGTCGGGACATCGCTCCACACCTTGCAATCCGGATCACCCGTTTTAGGTGACTTGAGCCTGCAGTCATTTGGAGGCTTGCAGCAACCAGACTGTTAAAAACACAAGTCGTAAACAATGTCATGAACACAATTCTCACAAGCAAAAAATCAAAGGAAAAAAGAAAAAAACCAAAACTTTCACCATAATCGGAGACAACTCGTGCTCGTAAAACTCCGGTCTCTCGCACAATTTAACGCCTACCAAACAGCTCCTTATCTCGGCCCAATTCTTGTCGTTGACGACGTACCTTTTAAGCCAGCCCGAGTAGTCTCCGAGCCGGTGGTCCCCGAAACCTTTTCCCGAGATTGCCCTTCCCACGCCTTGATTGGTGACCACAATCGCGAAGGCCGTGAAGGCCACAAGGGCGAGTATGAGGGCAAAAAGGACAAACAGATAGAGCCAAAGGAGAAACGAGATGCCGCACCACGCGCCGACGAGCCCGGCGACGGAGACGGTGAGGAGAGCACCGCCGACCGCCAGCAGAGGCGTTTTCAGGACACGCTGGCAATCGGTGTCCGATCTGACGTGGAACCAAAGGGCGAAGCCGATGGCGGTGAAGGCGACTAGGATCGTGATCACGTTGAGGCAGACGATCATCCCATTGCTTATTCGGCTCATTTTTTTTTCCGGGAAAAGACAGAAAAATGCAGAAACTCTGTGTGTTTTTGGGGGATTTGAAGATGGTTTTTTTTTTTTTTTTTGCTGGTTTTGGCTGTTCTTAATTTGGGTAAAGAGTGATTGATGGCATGGGATATGTGGGTTATGAGAATATGGGATAGAGCGGTTGTTTATGGGTTTGTTGTGACGGATTTGCCCTTGGAGATTATCGTGTGGGAGTTTGAAAATGGATTTGTGTTGTTGAGGAAGAGTGGATTGGGAAGGTGGCGGTTTGATTGAAGTTTTTTTGGGGGGAAAAAAACGGTTATGTGGGGCCAACTGTGGAATTGATTTGAATTAAGTTTGGTCAATGATAATGAGCCAAATTTTGCATATAAAATTAGAATATACCACATATACACATTACATTAATATGCCCCAATTGATGTAGCAGGATACTAAATTAGTATATCAATATTTCCTACAAAATCACCATTTTTTTTTTCCCTCTTACAAAATAGAAAAATGTTACGGTCCCGTTACGGAACCATTCCGTCAGGGTTTGTAACCGTCAGATCAATAATCCTCGACAGTTATATGATGATCTAACGGTTATAAACCCCGACAGAGTGGTTCCGGGACGGGACCGTAGCATTTATCTATATTTAGGAAAAATGTGAAGATTCTTATACACTGAAACAAAAAATCTACACATCAAGTTGGATGTTTTTCAGGTGAGAAAGATTGTTTATTATTTTCCATTAGAACACTAATTTCCACATAGACTTTCCGTCGATGCCATGTCAGCTCTCGTTTGCCCGGGGGAAAGTGAACCGATGCATCGATTTGCAAAACTGAAAAAGATTCGTGTTCTTAAGTGCAAAACTCATAAGGTTGTGATCAAATTGCATGAGTAAAAAAAAAAGTCTGCTTTACATATGCAATTTTATTCATCTGTTTACTTCTTTGGATCTTGACATTTACATATATGCAATTTTATTCACCTGTTTACTTCTTTGGATCTTCACATTTACATATGAACAGACACTCCAACACAATGGGCACTTGAACTAAATTCAAAACAGACAAAATAAAGTTCCCAACATTATTTGACAAAAGGAAAAGTACAGATAACACAACTAGGTTCATATGAACATTACACTAAATTTAATGAAAGGCAAAGAACGCTAGAGACGAAAGTATTCTATCAACATAGCATCTTCAGGCACGGATTGATTCATATGAACGCTACCCTAAAATTTAAAAGCCAAAGAACGCTTGAGACGAGACTCGAGAGTTTTCGACTTACTTCCCTCATCCAAGATTTTCTCTCTCTAGCTACAGACGATCACAGTCCTTTGTCGTCTTCATCTAGAGTAAGCCAACACAGGCTTTCCGCATAAGTTGTAGCATCAATGGCAATGGAGGTGTCAAAGTGATGGGGTCCCATGTTGCCTGAATCATACAACTTCAAACTCGATCCGTAGTTTATCACCATCAGCCTAGCATCCTCGGACACAAACACAGGCCTCGGCCATACAAATCCAAGCTCAAAAAAGTCAAGGGCAACCTCAACCACTTTAGCCCAAGATTCCCCCACACCGTATTCTTTCATCACCCACACAACAATGCTCTCACGATTTACACCACAAATGGCGAGGCAACCACCAAAAACCTTAACCTCTACTACAAAAGAACAAGCACAATTACCAGGCACAGGCAGCCGAGTGAATGTCTTGGTCGAGAGGTTGATGGAGACAATATCCCGTCTAACCGCAGACACTTCAACCCACCAGTGGATGGACCCATTCAGGAACGTGCCCGCCCGGCCAGTTCAGGAGCAGCTTCCACGAGTCGGCCCTTGAGCTGTAAATCATGGCATAGGTCTCGTGCTGGTCGGACCGTATCGCGAAACTGTTAACCTCGATCACCTTAAAATCGTCGTGGACCTCATCATACCCAAAGGAATACGAATTGAGGAAGTACAACAAGTTATTACCCGACGAGTCGGACTCCGGCAGGATTTTCAATTTTCTCGTGGCTGGATTCATTAAACAGATGCTGCACTTGGGGCTGGATTCATTAGACGAGTCGGACAAAATAAAGCAAACAAGACCGTTACAAGATCCGATCATCGTCAAATCGATACCAGGGGCAAGAGGAGGACAGTCTAAGGGGGCGGCGTCGAAGGGAATCGGATCTCGATTATCGTCGACGGAATATAGGCAGCCGGTGAGTGGGTCGGCCAAGACGGAGCCATCGATGGCGGAGTTGATGGGGCAAGTGTAAAGGCTGCGGTCGTTGTCGGTTATGAGGCCGAAGATGAGGTTTTCGCGGGCTGAAACGCCGGAATTTTGAGCCGTCGAGGTTTTAAGGTGGGCTTTGGCGAATTTGGAGCTTGAGATGAGGAGAAGCCATGGTTTGCAGACGGACTTGAACCTGAGGAGAGATTTGACTGGCAGCCGAAGGAGGATCTCGGTGATTATTTCTTCCGGGATAATTGAGGCGTCGGTCTCCGGGTTGTCATTCTCCATGACTGCGCCTCTTCAGCTTTTGCCGGCGGAGGGAAAAATGTGACATAGTTATTGTGATTTTAAGTTTAGGGAAATGTTAAGGTCCGCAACCCATCCTGGATTTGTAACGGTCAGATCAACTATTTCTTAAAATTACTATAATATTACTATAATATTTAAAAGAATTAAAATTAATTTGAAAAAAATTTGAGATAAAAAATTGTGAAATTATAGTTAATTATAAATATATAGGTGGATGAATAGTGAATTAAATTTGACATATGTGTAAAAATGATTGATTATTATTATTTAATTATATTAATAGTATTGAAAATAATGAAGTTAGATTAAAATTAAATTTAATTTTAAATATTAATTGAATATAAATTGAGTTTTTTTTTTTTGCAAACAGAACACCTGCTTACCGTCCGTGGCGTACGACCTTAGAGAGGCATCGTATAACCGGTATGATAACTTCAAGAGAACCGTATCAAGGCCTCGTTTGTTTCATGTATAGGATCGATTAAATTAATACGTAGTTGGTGTATTGTAATGTGTGAATTAAATTATACTCGCGTTAGTTATTAGACATGGCCAGGGTTCAAGTCAGCTTGGTCAAATCGTTGTCTGCAGGTCTTGAACCAACCCGTTGTTTTACGCGAGCGGTTCAGGTTCTTGTTTTGTCTTTTTCTTTTTTAAATTGAATTGTCGATTCAATTTTGAACCAAAACCGAAATCAGAATCGGCTGTTCGTGTTCGTCTATATTTTTAAAGCTCGACCGCAAGTGTACGGCTCCGCTTGTAGTATGCGGCAAGCAAGGTCGTATCCCAAGAGACCAAATAATCAATATAGCAAATACTAGATTATGATAGTGTCAACTTTATTTAGACGACCGAATATGAGTTTGATTAACTAAACTAAGAAAATAATTCAAAAGATAAGAAATCAATAACAAGAAAACAACTAGAAAAACACTTAAGAAGAATATATGGGAATGGTAGATTCTAAGACTATGGGTTCAATTAACAGTTGGGTTCCTTCAAATATATCACAATTAACTATTTTCTTTATCTACCCTATAAGATGATCACGAAATTAGCCTATCGTCCTTCTCAAGATCGATAAAACCGTAGATTAAATCACATATATTAGCGTCTCCACTCAACACATGCAATTCAACTCCAAAAAGATTAAAAGACCCAAAATCCTCACAACTATCTACTAATCTCTCGATTCAAGCAAATAAATTGTGTCAAATATTAAAGATCTAATATTGAACTCATCTCTCGAATTATGAACAATATCATCAAACATGTAAAAGCAGTGGTCAATTGCAATTCATGAAATAAGAACAAAATATTTGAATAGGGTTCAAAAGAAAACAATCAACTATGATAAATCATCCAAAAATCCAAAACTATTAATCTACTACCATGTCTTAGAATCAATAAATCTAGCTACTCATGTTCGAATTCAAATACATAGACATATTAGAAATCATCATGAGAAAATAAGTTCAAAAGAGAGAAAGAAAAACTAGAAATCTTGTGGTTGATCTTCTCTTCTTCCCAATTGCTTCTCTTCTGTGTTCCAAGCTCTTCTCCTTGTGTTCTCTATGTTCCTCCCTCAGAATAGGGTTAATATGCTCTTTTTAATGTCCAAAACCCCTCTCCTTATCCAAAAAGGCAAGAGATTAAAAACTGTCCGCACGCGCGACACGACCTGACATGCCCGTGTCACAGGTCGTGTCAGGTATCTGGGCCTCGAATTCTTTCTGTTGAGGTGACATGGGTCGTGACACGACCTGGGAGCCCGTGTCACAGGTCGTGTCACACCACAACATGCACATTTTTGTCCGTTTTGCTCGTTTCTTCCATTTTCCTCATCCGTGCATCGATCTATCATAATCCCGAGAGTCTTAGGCACCCACCATGCTCCTCCAATAGCCAAAACTCTACAAATATGTGAAAATATCTACAAAACAAGCACGTGTAATACATTTCCAACAATTATAGAATTAAAGCACAAATGTGCAATTTATACACCACAAATGCAACAATTAAGCTCTAGATACTATATGAATATGGTGTAAAATCGCACATGAACAGTTCGACACCAAAATTAAAATTTAAAAACTAACCTTTTTATTTTTTATTTCTCGAACAGACTCTGAACCACCGGTTCATTGAACCGTTCCTGAGTCGATTTCGGTTCACCAAAATGATGAACTTGAACTGGCAGTTTCGACCCGAACCCGGTCCGAAATTGGGTTTTAACCACAGTCTATTTGTTATTCATGATTAGTTTGGATAGGATAATATTTTCATAATAGTGATGTTTGTTTGTCCTGATAACTAATGAAGGGAAATGATACAGTCTCGTCACGGTACCATCCCGTCAGGTGTTTTAACGTTGGATCTACATATAGCTAGATAAAATAGATGATCTAACGGTTAAAACACTCGACGGAATGATACCGTAACGAGACCGTAGAATTTCCAACTAATGAAATATGAATGCGTATTTGTATTGTCGATTATGCTCCAAACAAATAAAAAAAAGTATATGTTATATTATTTTTCCTTTCTTTATTGAGCTCTCAATATTTTTTCATTTATTTTTTTTTTTTCTCCTTCCAATTTGATACCAGATTAATAAATCTCCATCCAATTGCTCCCCAGTCTAACAACACTCCACAAAATATGAAGCACAAATTATACAATACTGAATTATATTCTAGAACAGAACATGCTGAAGAGTGTGTGATATTTAACGATTATACAATACTGAATCATATGAGTTTAGATTATTACTTCTTAATCATCAATTTAATTAAGCTTTTCTAAAAAATAATTATGGAGCTAACCAACCATGCATGACACCATGTCTCATATTTAATTGTTATTATGTACACACAATACACTGGTTTGAGAAGATTGCAAAACACTGCAAAAGAACAAAGATCACTGTAAAAAGAATGTGTTTTATTCAGACTAATCACATTATAGGATTATTACATGTATGAGGGCACTGTGCTGTTCTAACTTCACAACCCATTGAGCTAATGACTTCCAAATAGAATAAGAGGGGAAAAGAAAAAGGATGTTTCTGTACCGAGCCACGCCAAATCCCGAATAGTTTTTCCTTATGTTTCTGGTATAGTTGCCAATGATTCCTGAAGACGAACGAGTAAACATGTCAACAATCAGCCAGTTAGTGCTACTAACATGAATAAAAAGAATAAAAAAAAAAACGAAGGACACAAACTTACCTCAGAATAACGCATAATGTGACGGTTTTGTGCCTTTGTAGTTCTAACAATGGTTTCCCACTTGATATCATCACTAGTGGGTGCCTTTGGAAACCGGTCTCGAGGATTGATTGATGAGTTTTTTGTAGACAGTGAAGGCAATGTACGCCAAAGCCAAGAATCAGATGGAGACTTCGGCAAAGGAGGGGGGAGAGGGTGCCGAGAGTGCATTTGTTCGGAGTTTTCAAGAGCTGTTGACTCCGATAATAGCCCCTTTTCTACTACAACCTCGATTTCTTCTTTCTTCGCCTCTTGTACAATTTCTCTAGTAGTTGAATCCGGCAGAAAAACACGACTTTTTTCACATGACTCGTCTGAATTTGTCATATCCGTTTGGTCAATGTACTGTGATGTGCTGTCGGGAAAAGGTCCGGAATCCGGGGACCCCACCATGTGAGTTACTGAATCCACGTAGAGGGTTTTCTCGATATCCGAGTTTGACTCCTTCGGACTGCATTGACCAGTCAATAGTTTCTCAGAGGTTTCGAGACGCTTCTCATTGCCAGATTCAAGTCCTTCAGCAATACTAGCATTTATTTTCACTTGGTGAATATTGTGGACTTGTTTTGATGTATTGTGACTACCTAACGCACTCAACTCGTTTCTTCTCGATTGGGTCTTTTCGCCGTTAAGCTGCCCAAAAAAAAAAAATCGAAAAGAAGGTGCATAATTTGGTTGAATAACAAAGCGCACCTAAGTATGAAAAGTAATGAACACAATATAAGTAACAACCGAAATACCTTATTAGAAAAACCGGGCCTCCATTGCAATTTCTTAGCCGAAACAGGATTTATGAGGCAGGCTGGATGAACAGTCCTCCTCAAGCAAAACCCGGGAAGCAAGCCACACAAATTCTGACGTTGATCATTGTCATCATCACTCTCTTCTTCTTCTTCTTCCTCTTCTTCTTGGTAATGTGAATACCGCTGGGCAAAACTCGGCCCATACCTCAGTGCAGGCTTTTTCTGATTCACCGGCTGTTGAGATCGTTCTTTGACCGGAACTTGTTGTTTTTCAGTCGATACATACCGAGGAGTACTCTCTAGAGAAGCCATTGCCTTAGCTGCTGGGAGAAATCGATCCATCATGAAATCCCGATCTCCCGGCAGCATAGCATGTAAGCCTCCGGGCCCACTTATTAGCCCGCTCGTACTACAGTTCAAGGAAATCGACTCTTCCATCCTCGAGAGTGTATCGAGTGCATCCACATAAGCTTCCTCACTACCATCCTCATCCTCTTCCTTCACCAACTCCTTACTGTTTTCATCAACCTCTCTAGAATTTTCATCAACAGCCAATTGCTTATCATTATTGTTTATATTAATATTACTATTGGCCTTTGGGAGTCTCCCTGGAGGAAGCTTTGGGGTGAATGTGTCGACGACACTCGTTTTTTGGTTGTTAGGCGATTTTACTATAGTTTGTTGCTTGGGGTGCCCGGGAGCACGCTCCCATACAAATGGCACAGAACCGGGATTTCTAAGGGGACCCGATTTTACTTTTGATTGAAACCGAGGGGGAGAATTGTAATCGGCTTTCTTCGTCTCGTTTTGTATTGTTCTTGGGGTCGTGTATCTTCTAGCTGATAAAAGAGGCTGGTCGAGATTCAGCTTCTGTTCCTCCATATTGGCCATCGGGGGTATCAACTTGTCCCGCTATCTGCACATCAATATAGCAGATTTATCGATTTTCGCCATGCGCTCGGGCAATTTATCCGAATCTATTCGAGGTATGTAATAAGAACTGAACTATAGCCAAGTTATGATGAGTTCAATCAGGTGAATCTGCATATGATGATATAACTTGGAGAAATCCAAATATCAAGAATGTTAGAATATCACTTGTGAGTTGTCCCACATTGTTAATACATGGAAAATAGACCCACTTAATAAGTTTAATGGGCTACTCCTCCTTTCACCAATTGGTTTTGGGATGGAACCTCATTTGGGCTTCATATGGGCTTTCCATGTTCCCCCAGTTTCTTTCAAAGAAACAATCCAGAAAATTAAAAGATACAGAAAATCAGATAAGAGTATTTGAAACTAATAGATTCACTGCATCGATGTGGGAGAAAACACATTACTAGATTACATGTATTATCTACGGCTACAAAACACAACGGAACCATCCCGTATTAACGGGATGGTAGCATTCTTCAGAAAAACATATACACACAGGCAGAGATAATGGGAAAAAAGAAATGCTAATCATCTCTAAAACCTCCAAACTTCAGTTTTTCATTACAGGAATTCTTGAAAAGTCAGAATCTTTCTGTAATCCTAAGAAATCTTGGTACAAACTACAGACAAGCTTCATATATTACTTCCCTTCAAGCTCAACCTCTGTAAGAAAAACACTGGATAAATAAAACAAAACAATTATCATCATCATTGAGTAGAAACAACCAAGCAAATTCACACACACACACAGAGCCAATAAATTAAATAAACATCACAACAGACCAAATACAGCACATATCAAACAAATCCCAGATAGCAACCCAGCTACAGCTCACCCACATCTCCATATACCAAACTTTTATGGAGAACAAAAAAAAAAATAAAAAAAAAATCCAAATCAATATATTGACAAAGCACATATCCAACAAAAAACCGAATCAGCTGAAGAAATCAAGAAATGGGCCGAAAGTAAATTACAAGAAAATTGCAAAATCTGAGGGAGAAAGTTTACCCCTTTTTGTACAGAAAAAAAAAATGTAATCTTGAAATCTATGAGCTGTCGAGTGTATTGATGTTATTGTTGTGTGTGTGTGTGTGTGTGTGTTATTTTTTTTTGGTTGGTTTATGTATGCTAACGAGCATATATCTATGCATATTAATGATGATGAGGAGAAATTTAGTAAAAAAAAAAAATTAAATAAAAGATAATGGGAATAAATTAGTACTTATTAAATAATACCTCCTTTTTTAAATAAATGTCGTTTTGAATTTTTTGATTCATCCATTTTGCTATGTATCTAGACATTAATATGTCTAGATACATAGCAAAATGGATGAATCAGAAAAGTCAAAACGACATTTATTTAAAAAAGGAGGGAGTAGGTAGTAACTTTTTTTAAGTAGCAGCCATTGGCCTTTCCTTCTGCACCATACAAAGTTTCATTATTGTATTTTATTTTATTTTTTTTAAAATATTTATCTGCATTTGACTCAGGTATCATCATTTTCAATGCAATGTTCATTAAATTTCATAGGTTGGTTGGTTGCTTTTCAAGACAATCAATTTTTACCGTTGACCTGAACTTCACATGTTCATTTATATCTCAATGTATGGAGTATATTATTATTGACTATTTAAGACTTTAACTAAGTATATGAATATTCACAATGCCGGAAATCCTACGGTCCCGTTACGGTATTTTCCCATCGAGTGTTTTAACCGTTAGATCGTCTGTCTTATCTAACTACATGTGGATCCAACGATTAAAACACCCGATAGGATGGTACAGTTACGAGACCATAGCATTTCCCTTTACAATGCTTGGTGTTGAAATATTATCATTTTTAAACTAATTGCATTAAATAAATATTCATTTAAAAGGTTCAACCAAATAATGAGTCCAATATTATAGTTGATGATATAAGAATTACTTGACGGTGGTCCGAGGACACTTGACGGCGATTGATGTTCCGACGTCCTCCTGAACTCGTCTCCTTTGCTTCGATGCTTGCAAAACAGAACTCCGGGGTTGTCCCCATGGTTAGACCCTTTGATGCCTAAGTTGAAATCGGTTTTAGGTTTTTTGGGTGGTGGCTGCGGAATGAGTAGAAGAGAGAGTATTGAGTCGTGAACGAATGTATCTTACCTTGACCTAGGTCGTCCTTTTGTAGGAGTCGGATGACCTAGGTCTCCCTTCTGCAGATGGAGGACTTCCCAGCCCATCAGTTTGGTGGACTGACCCCAAACCTTGGGCCCAAAGTAAAGCTCCTCTGAACTTTGGGCCTATAGTAATTCTCTTCAAGACGTTGGCCTCAGAGTAAAGCTCTTCGGGACTTTAGGCCTAAATTAAGGTTGGATTTCAGCCTTAACCTTGGACACTGACGGTTCTTGAAACACATGTGTCTTTATTTTTCCGAGCCACGTGTCGCCTAATTAATGTATATTTTTTCCCTTATCAATAGCCATCACCTAATAGTAATTTACCAAAAGTAAAATACGTTATAGTAATTTATGTTGCGATTGGTTGTTTAAATAAATCAATTATTTCTAGTCTGATTTTTTTTTCAACTTTTTAACTTAAAATTCAACTCAAATTTAATTTAACCCAACACCCCTCAATATATCAATATCTCTCTACAAGCATCCACAGGCGATACAGAATTTTTCAACACGAATTGAATTTATAACTTTAAAAGAAAAAAAATCAATCAAAATTAGGCCAAACATATATTAGAGAGAGCAACTGATTTTTTAACATAATTGTACATGTACACATTTTTTTTTTTTTAAACGTCAAACATTTGAAATAAAAATAAAATTACATAATAATATTATAATGTCAAAAAATTTTATACAAAATAATTTTAATCATTTTTTTTTTTCTACATTTTATGAGGTGTGTGTGTGTGTGTCTTTACTTACTAGTTTATGGATCATGTGAAATATTTAATTATGAGGTGGACGGAGGACCCAAAAGGTCATAGCCAGTCCATACACATGCATTTACTGATTCGCCCTGAGTGTATAACCTGAAAATTTGTGTTCAAAACTTTTTAATTATTTATTTATTTTTATTTTTATTTTTTTGGATAAAAAAAGGAGATTTTTTTTTTCTCGAAAGTTAAGAAATAATTTTGTACAAAAATATAAATTAACACTATCCAATAGTTGTGAATTTAATCATTTTTGGAATATAATGCTAAACAGCTCAGCCTAAGATTGGAGCTCCGAAAAAGAAAAAAAGAAAAAAAATTGGTTTACATTGCATTATTGATCCCTTTAATTTTTTAGATATAGATATATAGTCCTTTACAACTCAGATTGTGCAGCCATTGTTCTCATCATGTCATAAAACTTGCATTATTGATCCCTTTATTTTAGTACTATAATGTGTTTCCAAGTATATATTGCTTTCTATGGACTACTTAATTAGTGGGAATAAATTTTGATCAGGTAATAAATATGCTATCACTCAATCAATAAGCTAGGGTTCATGTTTTTTCATTTTAAGACCATAACCCATTGTGCAGTAACTGTCACATTAAACAGTAATTCATCTCCAACCGAAAAACTCATTCTCGAATATTTTCTTTTACATCAACTTTTACAATTTTTCAATACTACCCACATATTTTACAACTTTACAAAATTTAAACACACTATTATTTTTGATTATTTGGAATTTATGTAGTAAAATTAGTTATAAAGTTATAATTTATATGCATAATAAAATCGGATAAAAATGTATTTTTTTTTTACAAAAAAAATGATATTATAATTTTTATTTTTTCAGCACTAGTTTCATGATTTATAGATTTTACATATTAAGATTTGATATAATCATATTTGCTACTACAAACCATTATATATCTTCTTAAATTTTTTAACTTTATTATAAAAATTTGTTACTTCAAAATAATTAATTATTTAAAAACAACTCGTATGTATACAAAATTAATTCGTATGTAATGAAATTAATTATTGATATAAAAGTCTTACTTTTCTATAGATAAATTACTTTAAAATATTAGTATAAATGATTAAAAGATATTATAAAAATATTTTCATGGTTATTGAATTGAATTAATTGACACGTTTTTTGAAATTACCATCCTTTTTATAACATTCAATATAAATTATTTGAAAATGATTGCACAAATAATTTTAAAAATATTTTATAATTATTTTCATGATTATTATTGAATTTTTATACATAAAAAATGAAGTTTTTGTATACATAATAAATCAAATCTTTTTTTAGTTACGTCACTACAAAATAATTGTTATATTCCAACAAAAAATCTTATGGGAATATAATTCAATGGAAATTCCAACGGATATTCCAATTAATGGTATAGCTTCCGTTGGAATAGTTCCAACAAAAATTCCAATGAAAATATTCCGTTGGAATGTGTTTTTCATTGGAATTTTAGATGGAATTTTATGATTCCAACGGCTATATTTCCAACGTATATTCCCACGGAAATTTGCATATTCCAACGTAAAAAGCCGTTAAATATAGCCGTTGGAATCATCAAATTCCATCTAAAATTCCAATGAAAAAAATATTCCAACAGAATATTTCCGCTGAAATTTCTGTTGGAACCATTCCAACGGAAGCTATACCATTAATTGGAATATCCGTTGGAATTTTCATTAGAATATATTACTATAGGATTTTCCGTTGGAATATAACAATTTTTTTTGTAGTGTTAGTTATGATATTTAACATGTCAATTTTTTTATTATTCCAAATTCAAAAAATAATAGAATATAGAAAAAATTAAATCAAAATAAATAATTTATTAGCACCAAAACATGTCAAATATATGTAATAAATGAAATAAATAAATTTATATATCAATATATAAAATATGAATAAACAAGGACCAAAATAAAATTCCAAAAATATTTTGCAGTAGGGAATAGTAGAAAACGCATATATGCGTTTTCT